GAGAAGTGCTCACTAACACAGATTTAGACAGATTTGTGAACAATATTTGAGAGAAATAGGCCTTTTGTGTACATAGAAAAAGTCTTAGATCTTTGAGTTCAGCTGATGAAAAATGGGGGCAAAATGTTGCGTTTAGCGTTTATAATTTTGTTCAGTGTACATAACAGAGTAGAAATACTTAGTAGCCTACAGACTTGAATCAGTGAAAAACAAAAGTGTTGCGTTTATAATTTTGTTCAGTGTACATAACAGAGTAGAAATACTTAGTAGCCTACAGACTAGAGTTTTGAATCAGTGAATTTTCCTTATTGGTTCAATATGATTCATTAGAACGAATAGGATTTTTTCAACGCATTCACGGTGGGAAGTGACTCATATCTTTTGAACTTCGTACAGATTTTTTTCTCTGATTCCTTCAGTTCTTCATGCATATTACAGCATTACGCCAGTAGGTAGTGACAAGTGGTTGACTTATAGGCTTATAGTTATATAAGCACATAAACATAGGCCCATTGTATCATTGAATCACAAACAATTCTTTAAAAAAGCATTGAATTTGGCCATCATATTGCCCTTCGTTGAAATATGAAATTTTCCAGAAGCATCATACGCATTTTTCCTAAAAATAGCAACAAATCAGATCTACAATGTTGTTCAGTGCATGGAAGTGAATGAAAATAATTAATTTACTTAAAATATTCATTTGCTCACTTAGAATTTATTGGATGTTATGCAATGACTGCTGTGTTCTGTGTCTGTTCACTGAAATTGGTTTGGATGAAACAGGTTTACCTGGAAAAATTCTACAACTTTAAGCCTGTAACTGGCCGATGGAAGCGTGCAGCAGAGCCTGACTCATTCAAGGCCAAACTGAGGGAGATGCAACACTTCTTTGGCCTAGAAGAGAGTGGAGATGTGGATCCTCAGACCGTAGCGGCTATGAGAAGAGCTCGCTGTGGTCTCTCTGATGTTGAGCCGTTCAGAAGGACGATGCGATGGACGAACAGAACTCTAACATACAGGTGAGGTTCACATACTCTCTTGAGCAGAATCCACAGCATTATGGCTCACATTCTCATGACTCTGTGCTCAGAATCTCCAGACTCAGCTCAAAGCTGACAGCTGCACAGGTCAGGACAGCATTCAGACAGGCATGGAAACTTTGGGCTCAAGCAGTGCCCTTGAAATTCCGCAGACAGATAAGGAGTGATGCTGACATCGTCATTTCCTTCAATAACAAAGGTGTGGGAAGAAAAGCTGACCTTTGGAGTTATGGAACTGAGTAATAGTCATACTCTATTGTGTGTGCGTGTGTATTTTCAGGGAGTGAACCGTAATTTATAAACAGAGTAGTCACCACAGTTAATAGTAGTCCTGTAAAATCATCAATATGGGATTGCCTTCAAAACGTGTATAAATCTTTCAGAATATTTGTGTCATTTAGTCACAGTGGTGACTGATACCCAAATTACCCAAATTAATAACTTATATTATTAACAAAACATTATATAATGTTAAGTGACATTTTGAAGAATGTGTAAAATATTAATATAGTAATATAGTATGTATGGATGTATGTGTGTATATATAACCTCAATACAAACACACAGACACACATATGTATGTATGTGTGTGTGTGTGTGTGTGTGTGTGTGTGTGTGTGTGTGCGCATGTGCATATTTAATATAGATCTATTAATACTACAAAAATAGTAAACCTTTAAAGAAACCTTTAAAGAATAGTAGCTGAAACATTAATACAGTATTAATAATAAATTGTGTGTGTGTGTGTATATATAATATATAAATAAATTACATACATATGTGTGTTTTTTATATGAATGAATTTATACTATATAACATTTCGAATATCATTAGCTTGTCTTTTTAAAGAATACTATACAGTTTTTTTCTTGAAAAAAATTCAAATTCATTGTTTGTGTTTGTATGTATACATCACTTGTTAGCACTAATGTGTGGCACTTACGGTAGATCATGAAGATGGGTCACCATTTGATGGTGAGGGAGGTATCCTGGCACATGCCTTCTTCCCCGGACCGGGCATTGGTGGAGATGTGCACTTCGATGATGAGGAGGCCTGGACAACAACAAATGTCAAGGGTTAAAAAAGGAAGAAGACAGCTGCAACAGTTTTTGTTCACTGACAGTAGTAAAGGTTTAATGCCTATTCACATGGCTGACACAATGAAAATTTGAAAATGTATTTACTTACATTACAGGTGAGCTATACCTTAAAGACCCTGAATGAAGGGTTTCTACTCCATCAATCAATACATACTTAAAATGTTTTCTGTGCTGAAGTGACATAACACATGATGAGTGATGATACCTATGCATCTCCTGAAGGCTGTAACCTCCTCGCTGTGGCGGTGCATGAGTTCGGACACGCTCTCGGCCTTCCACATTCATCAGATCCTGGAGCCATCATGTTCCCAGCCTATAATTTTGGCTTGCACAATGTTTTGCAACTGTCTTTCCAGGACGTCAAAGATATACAGGAAATTTATGGTATTGTATGTCCATGAATATTCTAACTAACCATCTCTAGTTTCTCTAGTTTCAGTGTTGGGAAACTGTTATTTTAAGCTACGTATGTAAACTGTTTTGAAATGTAGTTAGCGACACTAAACAAAATAGCTAATTAGAGTTAGAGGGCATTATTTAATGATACAACTATAAATTTTATATTTTTTCTTGCACAAAACCGTTTTCAATGAATAAGAAGTAAATGTATACTAAATTCAAATAATAAAAAACTGAGTGGAAAACAGTAGCGCAGGGACTCGAATTGACATGAAACTGAACCGTCTGAATGAATCGATTCTCTAGAATGAATCAGACTTCGCAAAGTTACATCAATGGCCCTGTCCCCTGCCCTGACCCTCACGGTCTTCCTCTGAGTCCGCACTTTCGTGACGTAATGCCGCTTTGACTGTCGGGTAGAAGTCTGCTGCGGAGCTCACCCCGGTGCGGGCTCGGCAGAAGTGCGCATTGAGGGCGCTCGCGAGCACCCTTTTGAACGCTAAAATGACGAATGGGACACTCTACGGCAGGGTTCCTCAAATCTTGCCCTGGAGGGCCAATGCGCTACAGAGTTTAGTTCCAACCCTGATCAAACTCCCCTACCTGTGATTTTCTAATGATCCTGAAGACATTGATTAGCTTGCTCAGGTGTGTTTGATTAGGGTTAGAGCTAAACTCTGCAGGAAAGTGGATCTCGTGGGCCAGATTTGAGGATCCCTGCTCTACGGTCTCGCGGACTTAACGGACACGCGCACGCTGCGGATTAATTCAAAAGACTCGTTTACATTCGTTCAGTGATTCTAAACGCCTGTGTTATGCCAGTAGGTGGCGGCATAGTCTGATACTTACGGAGTGATAGTCATTGAATCACTTAACCGATTCTTAAAAAAAGCAGCGAGTCGACCTCATTAAGTCTTAATTTTATTAAATTTTTATCATGATATGTTTATCAAGATACAGGTGCATCTCAATAAATTAGAATGTCGTGAAAAAGTTCATTTATTTCAGTAATTCAACACAAATTGTGAAACTCGTGTATTAAATAAATTCAGTGCACACAGACTGAAGTAGTTTAAGTCTTTGGTTCTTTTAATTGTGATGATTTTGGCTCACATTTAACAAAAACCCACCA